TTACTGTTTCCATTCATTATGAATGAGAGGCTATTAAAACACAATCACCTGAGTATATAAGAACAGACTTCTGCTTAATTATTTCTCGTTATATTTACGTACCAAGAGAATTTAAATTTTAAATTTATTTTTACTTTGTGTGCTAAATTTAAAAATTGAATTTTTTTTGTCCAAGTTAGGTTTGCTTCCCCTACAGAGTAAAAATATTTTTGCTTTCACAAAATATTCAAAAATCAATAAATAAATCCATACATGCTTACATGCACATGTGAATAAATAAATGGGATATTTAAACCACAGAAAAACTCAACGATTCATGAAAGAAAAAGTTGCTTCCACTGTAAAATATTTGACCACACTGCCACCTGCTGGACTGAAGATAAAATGCACCTAATGAAAAAGGATTAAAGTAGGTAAGAAAAAGAAAACTCAAAAAATAAAACAGCAACAACACATGGCTAGAAACAAAAGGTTACATAATTTTACAAAACATGATGTACACTTCATTTTCAAATTTTAAAAAATGAAAAAAGATGTTTCTATTTCAGTAAAATTTAATCGTGATCTGTTCTGTGTCATTCCTCAAAGAACATAAAATATAGATTACTGTAAAAATATTGCACATGACTACCAAATGAATACTGTTAACAGATCAGCTTTTATTTTCTATTTTGCTGTTGTTGTTTCTATTTTAGTCTTCTTTGCATGAATTAATTCAAGCCCACTATAACCACTTTTTGAAGTCTTCATTTGACTAAAGCTTGTGGGTGTTTAGAGTTTGTCTGTTTGGAGGATTTATTCCCATCTCTCTGTTAAACAGAGAAAAGAAAAAACCCTCAAAAAACATATACACATAATTTATGTTTCATTTCATGGGATTTAATGCGTTCATTTAATCTGAATTGAATCATTAAAAAAAATTGAGACAGGAGTTAGACTCATAGAAAACTGGCTGACAAAAGTACTATCCTTTTAATTGGGTTTAAACATTTTCATAAACAAAACTTAATTCCATTTTGCTTTAATTGCTCTTTGATTTTCCCATATTTTTCCTTGTTTATCTGAATAAAATATCAATACAAGCAGCAACTTTAAGTGAACAAGGTGAGTCTGGAAACCAGCAAATCAAATAGGTGTGCAGAGTGCTGGTTATTTACTTTTCTTTACAATTACTCATTCATTAACATGCAAAAATGTGTCAGTTATTTATAAAATGTTTACGATAAATATACATCCAACAGCTTAAATGAAAAATAATCTTTCAATTTA